TACTTAAATATGACAATCTACCAGTTGATGTCCTTTCTGATGTAATCTTGGTCGCGCTTCCCCTCCGCATTCTCTGGGCCATCAAGCTTCGCCACGAGCGCCACCGCAAAGTGGTCTTCACTACTTTTTCTTCCAATATCATCATCTCTTTCGTTTCGATATTCCGTACTACATGCCGCCTCAAGGGACTTTCGTTCTTGGTTCTTATCGGCTCAGAACTGCAGGTATTTATTTGAACTGCAAGTCTGATTTAAATACAGATTGAAATGCTCATAATATCCGCAGCTTGTATGCTGCGACGTCGTATGTAGCCTTTTAGTGGCCGTCACCTATTTAGATTCCCGGTTAGGGAATGGCGACGAAAGCGATGAAGAAACCTCCGGGCGTGGATCTGATTGCCCGAGCCAGCGATATTCTACGCATCTGACTACTGTGGACCTGGAACAACCAAGCGGATACGAGGCCAATAGCGAAATAGATTCATCAAAAGGGAATCAGAGTTTCCCTCGTCCACACACAGACTTGGAACATCCCTCTACGCCGTCCCAGGAAAATATATATTGCGAAAATCCCTGATTGGCGTGGTTCGCTATTTCTAGGTCTGTTTCGGCCGCTAGTTTTTTTTGACGCTCGTGCATCAACATCATGCCACGGCCCCGAGAATCAAATTACACCGGTAAATTGTTGACGTTTCCCATGAATATACAGATAGCTTATTGGAAATTCTAAAGTGAATGTATCTATTATATCGATAATACCGATTAATGGAAATGAGATCGTAACATTTAGGGACTATCTTTCGAATTGTCTTTCGTTACAACTTTGCATGTTCTGTGCCGTGCGGTGGGATGCCACTTGCATTGTATCTCAGCGCCTTACGATTCACATCCTTCGTGAGGGATCGATACCCAGCAACAGTCATTGTGATATCAAGATCCTGATGTTCTCCAACTTCAGTCAATGACTACAGCAACCGGGCAGAGGGCACTTACCGCCAATAAAGACTTCATGACATGTCGACAGCCAGCCTCCCCCTCATGTGCCATGCCCCAGACATACAATCGTCCAACTTGAACAGCATGGGCACCAAGAGCAAGCGCCTTGAAGACATCGGAACCCGTACGAATTCCGGAGTCGAAGATGATCTTCATCTCTGCAGGAAGCTCAGATGAATGGACACTCATGAAGAGAAAAACGGCCACGAACTATCACCAACAGCATCGACAATCTCGGGGAGTACCTCCAGGCTTCCCACTGCCCCGTCTACCTGGCGCCCCGCATGATTCGTTACTACAATTCCTTCACAACCTAACTCTCGCGCCTTGACAGCGTCATCCACGTGCTGAATGCCTTTGATTACGAATGGTCGCCCTCCGGAAATGCGCTTCCACTGGTGATATCATATACGGTCAATCGCAATCATAACGACAAATGCACAGCGCTATACTGACCTCTTTGATCAGCCACGGGATTTTCTCCCAAGTATGAGCTTTGCCGTGCCAGACTGACGAGTCGATCCATTTTCCAGGATCTTTCTTCAAGTCCTCGCCATATTTCTTCATGAACACTTGATCCGATGTGCCGATCTCGTTGCCAACCTGATCATCAATCGTTGTTATAGTAAGTAAAGGGGCACCCGAGAATGAAAATCAATGTACCGCTCCAGGATAATAAAATCTAAAGGGAAAAAGAATTAAATACGGTGAGATATACCATCAAGGTGAGTCTTACACGTAGTTCGCAATGTTGATGTCTGTTGGCCTCCAGCCCAACTGCCAAGTATCGACGGTAAGCATGCATACATCAAACCCACTTTTCCACGCGCGTTCTAGTAAGCTGATAGTCTGTCGGTGCGATTAAGCCAGAAATCAAAATGCAAACGGAAGGATAAAGACGAACAATTTCATCGTCGTGTCCCATATAGAGTTGGAAAAATCTGGGTCCTTTAGCATTCCCGCCATTGGGTCCGCTATAGGAATGGACGGAATTGCTGTCGTTTTTGGTCGCTGCACCTAGATCATTGGCTGCAGCTACATCTTCAATAGGTTGTGATCCAGCAGTCGATAGACAGTACTAGGAACGGCACTTTTAGAATTCATTCAAGACTTGCAAATGTAACTCACGGGCAAACCAAGTTCACCTGCTATCATGGCGGGGACCAACTCACCCTGTGGGCTGTAAAGTTTGTTGATGCCGATAGGCGCAAACAGGATTGGAGCAGGAATTCGATGCCCAAAAAGTTCCGCTGTAAATGAAGGTATCATCAACTGCACAGTCATCAACACTTGTCGCTCGTCGCTCACTGGTGAGGTCACGCGTATTGGTATCGACGAGCATGCGGGGAATAATCCTCCATCTATAAAAGGCTTCTCTGCAATGAGATACACTGGTTCAGTAGGTCTGACACGGTATCTGCGAATTCATGACTCGCCGATTCGCTCGGTCTGTCCAACCCAAACCGGCGTTAGAGTTAGCGTAGAAATACGATCGGTCATTGAGCTTCTTCTTGGTCGAATCCACCAATTCATCAGCGTGCACAGAGAAGCTCGGCACTGAGAGGGTGATTGGGAGTGATTATCAGTAACCCCTTCACCCGAAAACGAGCGTCCTTACGTGCTCCTTGGTCACCACCTGCCTTGAATACTTCTCGCTGATAGAGAGAATAATGGGGCGATGGTCCCTGGGGTTTGTTTGTTGGATCCATGGTCAAATAGTGAAATGTCAAAGGTGGGTTCGACTTTGAATACCAACGTTTATGCACGCCTATATACTCGCGCCAACCAGTATACTACGTCACTGTGTGCCAAATATAAAACAGACTATGACGGAGAGGGATCAATGTTCTTTCACTCCGATGAACAATCCCGAGTTCCGATAAAGCGGAAGGGAGGTAAGGCATAAAAATTGCGGAGGAGACACGGCGAAGTTATCGCAGTACGGTATCCCGGTGGTGGAGAAAGATTCGGCCATCCGCGAACTTGAGTCCGAGACGCCATCCATTCCGTCCCTCAAAGTTCTTCAATGCATAAGGCTCGATTACATCATCGGGCATATGGTGTAGCTGGTTATCACGCCCGCTTAGCATTACGTAAGCTGAGTGCGGGCGGTCTCCGGTTCGAGTCCGGATTTGTCCAGTTTTTTGCACGTACTTTTTGCACGTACTTTCACCCAGCAGCGTGCTGGGCGAGTGACTGGAGTTCGTGTGGTGTGAAATGTTGGTTCATATTATACGTTGGTGCTTTAAGATACAAATGCTCTGCGCGAACAGATTCTATAACTGCAAGATATGTACATAGGAAATAACACCGTTTAACTATACGCAACAATAACATCTCGAAGCCGAAACGGTCAACAAAAAATTACAAATACGAGGCAGCGTTCGTGGTTAATAGATAATTGGCTGATCTCCCGCATTCAGATTCGGAGCAGTCGGGAGACGCCCGGGTTTGCGCCACTGTACAGAAATTCCAGCAACGTCCCCATCGATATAGGACAGCCCGAATCTATTAATGGAGGCGGCTGGTAATTGAATCGATGGGAGTTCGAGCAACAGCAGTGATGGGAGTTCGGCAGAGAAGAGGGGTGTAACATCGAGAGACGGCAGTTGAAAGATGTTCGAGTCGAGCATGCCAGCCGCGACCAGTTCATTCGCCAGACTGAAGGATCGTAAATTTATGTTTGTAGCCTCCTGAACCAGTTTGACAACCTCGTGGTCTAGTTTGACCCTGGATGCTTCGAGAAAGCGCATCTTTGTTTCGTAGAACCGAATCCGAGCTTTGATGTCTATCTCCAGGAGGTCAGCGACGCGGTGCTGGATGTTGAGCGCCTCAATCTGAAGTTTAAGCCCTTCGGCCTCGAGGGCATTCTGGTGATAGTTTGAGTCAACGTTGATACAATGAATCAAGACAAAAATATTACAAACCTCCAAATTAAATTTCTATGGGCGGCTTCTCAGTCGAATGTATGGAGTAAAGTAAGTTGAGTATAACGTACCTGGCCCTGGACAGCAGTATTCTTCTTAGTCTTTTTTTTCGCCTGTATGACAAATGCAAATAGAGTCAGCGTTCTGATAACCCTATGGCTCTGAATACAATACCGGGGCCTCTTCGTCTGAATCGTCATTCTCTTCCTGTTCGTCGTCATCAGATTCGATCCGTTGACTTTTGTGCGAACGGGCTCTCTTTGGCTTGGAAGGCTTCTCCTTCACAAGATCGATTAAGCACTGGAGTATGCTCGTGCAAAGGACTGGCACTTACCAAAACAACATTGCCGTCACTATCGTGATCGGAAATGGAAAGGGTGAGGCCTGCTGCACGGCCAGTGGACTGTAAGTACAAATCAGAAGCGAGATATGATAGCTTATTATTTGATATTGTTGACAACTACACGGTCATCGGAGGCACTCAACGCAGTCCCACTTCTCGAGGTCACAACGATTTCCAAAAATCTGGCCTATACCTGCTGCACCAACGAGGCTGGACCGCCCTCCGAAGTTCAGGTATGCATTAGCTGGTAGTCCAGACGTGGCAGCGAGTAACTAGCTGGTTCCGAAGAGGAATATCAGGATTGAATTTATGGCCAGAATTGACCATTGTAGTAAAATTTGAAAACTAGAAATTCACTGTGACAGACTGAGACAACTTATTATATAGTTGACCAAAAAGAGAAGCACATACCGATATCACGAAGAAGGGTTTCTGGGGTGATGTTGACAGTCTCAGCTCGGGAGCGGAAGCGCGGAGGGCGGGGACTTGCTGAGCTCGCGCAGGTCGTCGAATGGGAATGAGCAGATATAAAGTAAAAAAGCCCGCCGGCAGGCAAAAGTGGAAAACAAATTCTATAGCATACAAGGCAGACCACATACTCAGTGATTTTCAGTGCAATCCCATACTTACATTTTACACCCGACAGCTATAATATTTGTTGTTGATCTATTGGACGGTCAAGGAATGGTGATTGAAGTTTCAGCATTTTCAACCATAAAAATATGCTAAAAAAAGTGGACAAATCCGGACTCGAACCGGAGACCGCCCGCAGATAAGCTTACGTAATGCTAAGCGGGCGTGATAACCAGCTACACCATATGCCCTCACAACGATATTATCACTGCTGCTATTATGTTGTCGCGGTTCTTCACATCCAATTTTGCAACTCCAGATCACTCTTTGGTTCACTATCATGTCTTCAGATACGTTAACACTGAAAGTAGAGTTTGGGGGAGGACTTGAACTATTATTCTCGAACAAACGCATCCGCGATGTCACCATTCCAGCATTTGTCCCAGGCGATAGTTCCGTTCCTTCTCCAGAATCAGAATCGATACAACCTACCTCTCTCAAACAGGCGGATGTTACATTCCTCTTACATTATCTGCGCGAGAAGCACCTCACAGATCGTCCAGAACTGTTCATGGAAAAAGACACAGTGTACGTCGTTTTTGTCTCTCAATTCATTTCGCCGAACGAAACTGGATTGCAGTCGCCCCGGAATCCTCGTGCTGATCAATGATACGGACTGGGAACTGGAGGGCGAAGGAGACTATGTGCTGAAGGATAAAGACGAAATCGTTCTTATATCTACACTCCACGGAGGCTGACGTTGAGGATCGGAAGTTCGGTACGACACATCAAGGAGAACATCATAGATGTATCGCATCTATCTATCGTGCTTAATGCCACTCGCTCAGGTCGATACTGCAACAGTCGATGGGATTTTCGTGTGGATCTTCACAGACAATTGCTACATGCTCCAAGGATTATCCTCGATGACACATCAGCTTTTTTACTAGAGTTTTCAACTGTAGTCGATCTGCGAAAAGTGGTTTGAGTTCTTTGTGAATTGGTGATCAACAACACTGTAACCTGGAGCCGTAAATTATCCTTATAACTTTACGATCAATTACAATCTATGGTTGGGCGCTCGTGCGTTGAAACTACTCATCACCGATTGCCGTAAGCCAGGAGTGCATGTCACGTGGTTTTTATCCGTATTCTCAGAACTACCACCAATTACGGGTCCAAAAACGCCCTCGGAAGGAGACAAGGAACATATTAGCTCCTATCGAGTCCGTTTCTGTTATACCTGCACAAAATGAGTAGCAGCACACAATCCGAGGATCATCCCAATCTTCACACCGGCGAAACATACCGAGAGAAGGCTCTTCGCAAACTCAAGGAGCAGCCTTTCGTCCCCATCGGTAGAATTCATCCTGGTATCCTCAGTCAGACGTGCTAAATGTCCAAACAGGTGCAGTTGCTACCACTGGTGCACTCGTTATGGCTATGGTACAAATGAAGCGAGGGAACTCGCGATCTCTGAACAACTGGCTCCGTGTTCGTGTAATTGCACAGAGTCTCACTGTCGCAGCAATTTGCGTAGGCACATGGGCCTTGAGCCACGAAGTTGATCCTGCCTCGACGAAAACTCGACAAATAGACGAGATACATGCCAGGCGAGGGGAACGACAAGACAGAGAGCGGGTAGAATTTGAAGGTCGTTTGAAGGAAGCCGAAGTCGTGTGGGCGGAAAGCCAGGGAAAGGAAGCACCTCCTGGTCTTCAAGCAAAACCTATTCCAACAATTGGTGTGCCAGCTTCATCACCAAGTGGGATTTCCTCTGGCTCAAGTTGGTGGGGATGGCTACCATGGCAAAGTTCAGGCCAGTCGCAATCTAGTCCCACTGACCCTAAAAAAGCATAACAGACTTGTTTCTGTCGCGTTAGATCCACCCCTTTACTGTCCTCAGGACTACTCTCATGTATTTAATTTACATAGTTAGAATCCCCCGTCCGTCTATGATCACAGACTCGGATCACCCGGCTTTATGGCATGGAAAAAGCAGGTGAGATTGTTTTAATTAAATGCAATAAAACATAGGAAACACTGGTCCATGCGGTGAAATCCAAGTTCCTTCATTAGCCCGCACACACGCTGCATATACGATCTCTGATTCTCCTAACATCCTCCAAAGATCGCTCAACTCTGCATCTCCATCCGCTGGCATTCACTTGGAAGCTCCTCGCCCTGTGAGGCCGTCATGTATCACCTCTTGTGCGGACTTCTTTCTGGTCCTCCACAGCGAGTTTCCAGCCTCCATATAGCTGGTTCACAATGGCGCTTCGTCTGAGGACGGCGAGCTCCTTAACGGCGTCGGAGAACATAGATGATAGCTTAGCTGGATCCTGTTCCTCCTGTGTATGCAGCATATCGGACAAAATTCAATGATGCGGAGAGGGATAAAGTACGAACCTGCATTGCACGGAAATTGTCTTGCGTTCGACTGACAAAGTAATTTCTGAAGTTGTAGGAGCTAAACGATCGAGAACTCCTTAGTGTAGAAGAGTATAGGCTCAGAATAGCTTGTTTCGTCGGAGGTGTGGCCATTGTAGACGAGTAGAAATGTGTTGGATGGCTACTCCTTCGTGAGTCTGGGAGACCCACCGACCCGCGCTTACACATCACGGATTTGATCGGCATTACTTATTATTACGCCCGGATTTGGAAAGTGGACAAGAAAGATCACCTTCCCAACATATGGTCTAAATCATTTGTTCAGCGAATCATCCACTCCTTCGATCATTGTAGAGTCACCATAAACACAATCTTGATATACTGGCACACATTTTACATTGGTATACTAACAATACGAGCTACAAGCTGACTCACATATAAATTGTGCCTATATCTAAAACGGTCGATTTTCTAAGATATCACGAAGTATTGGAGCAAGTTGTTTGCGTGTAGCTGTGACATTCTTCTGTTTATAAACCCTCGCTAGAGTCGAGTCCCCAAATAAACCATTTTTTGTTGACCCATTTTCTCCTCCTTCCCTAAGCCCGTACCTCCCAAAGTCTCTTCGCTTCAGCTGCAACACATCGCTTGCCTCCAGTTCGGACCACACCTTTGAAGCCAGACGCTCCGCATCAAATGACGTGGTCGAGTCCCCGGTAGAGTCGTCATCCAGTACAGTATTAGCGCCCCTGCGAATGACCAGCATGATTTCGCGCTTATGTTTCGGTCTATCATTTTTTGTGAGCTTGCTTTGATCGCGGAATGATGTGAGAATCCCGAGGATAGCAAGCTCTCGTTCAGCCATCCATGTTTCTGTCGATGAGAAAAACGATTCTTTGTCCTTGGTAATCCAGCTGTCGAAGCCTACAGGCACTGTTGACAGTCCCGTCCGGATTGAAATTTCCGGCGATGCCCATGGCAGCGAATAGATATATTCCTTGTAGTCCCGCCGCAACAGATCCCGAGTATCGAGATGAGAAACCGACATCTTTTTTTCGTTCAGGTCATCCGCTAATTCCTGGATTTCGGGAATATCAGAGAGAATATCAGGGGCCATCTCTTCTATGGAAAAAGATGGCGAGGATGCCAGAGTCGAGAGGGGCAATAAGAATGCTACGGCGTCTTGATCGACAGCAGTGACTTTCCCTCCTTCTCTCAAACCTTGAGTGTCAACTACAATTGCTGAAATAAGTACAGTTGCGAGCCCATCGGGCAGAAATGGTGGGCGAAGTTGCGTAACAAGCGATGCACAGCTACCAGAAGGTGTAATGATGCGAGGATCAGCTGTGTCTTGGTATTTGCCTTCGTCTTCGTGATGGTCAATGACAGCAACAACTGAAGCATTGTCGTTTTGCGCAGAATAGCGAGAGTTCAATACGTTATGGTCAACAAGCGCGAAAGAATTGGACGGGAACCCCTGGTCGTCCTGAATGTCCCCTGAACAAAACAGTTCCTCGAGGTCCTGCTGCACTCCTGCGAGAGAGAGAGCATGCATGTTTTCTGCTCTCAGATGGAAGTCAGGCCGCTGCGTCTGCATGAATGGTATGCTTGGCTGGTGGTGAACTTCGCTGCGAATCCAAGCATAAGCAATGGAACTCGCGATAGAGTCGAGATCTAAGATTTTTGTAAGTAATGGTGCATACAGTAAAATATAGAAAGCACCTCCAGCTTCATTGCCCATCACTACAGTCCACTCGCTCCCTTTTCCTCTCCTAACATCTTCGATATATTTAGCCTTTTGAGCGGACAGATACTGGGATAAAGGAGACATGTGGGCGGTGTTGCTTAGTGGCTGTCGAAATCCTTTATGCAAGCCAAAGGCTGGGAGACGAAAACGCCAATATGCTGTGATAGACACGACGGAAAATACACCGAACAGTGCCAGCTCGACAATCGATCGCCGCTTCATCGACCTCCACTGGTCGATGATCCTTTTGGCCAACTTTTGGCTTTCCGAACCTTTGGCGTTGTTCGGACCGGCAAACACCGAGTCGGAGACAGACAATCATCTCAGTTGGTCTTCCCGAATCCACCCCGAAAATACTGATACAATCTGGAGCCCAAGGACATACTTTCCGAACAGGCGGGACTCCCATCTTCTCTAAATCATAATATGATGATGAAGTGTAGTGTGGATAAGTGGGCCCAGAGATAAAATCGTTATCGACTTCCACTGGACTTCCCAGTCAAGTGGTCATTAATCACCTGTGGAATAACTCTTGCCGGTATACATGTTACTGTGAACAAAGTTGAAATGTTAATCATTGCTTTTCACACTTCCAGATGAGTCATTGTTTCGAACTTGATCTGAATGCTTTCTTTTCCGTCACTGCATGGCCGCCCTTGATCATTTCCGTTTCATCTTTCCCCAGGCCGTTAATCATAAGGAATCATGCATCATCACAATCTGTGTTTGATCTTGATGCTTCTTGACGCCATTATAATCTATTATAATGCTCGACAGATTGCCGAAGGCTTCATAATGTCATGCCAATCTCGCGAATCCACTCCCATCACCAGAAATCATCAGTTGCGGTGATTCATTTATTTTTGATTATCGATGATATATAATGTATTGTTGTTTGGAGAATTGCAAGGATTCAAGCAATTCGAACCACGTCCTCGTCGTAAGCATATTTCAACTTTCCCCTTTGTGATGGGATTGATTGATTTTAGCCAGTTTCACGATGCACCTGGCGAAAATATCACTCACATCTTTCTTGGTTATTGCAGCCTTTGTCGATGCTACATGCGTTAAGAAAAACAAGCTCTATGATTACGAGCTGCAAATATGGACTGG